ACGGTTGAACCCCTGATGTCACATGGATTATTTTACCGATCTCCTTGCTACGTCTCTGGATGTTGATTGTGGTAGTACCCTTGCTGTCTATGGGAGGGTCAGACAGCTCTCAGATTCCATCAAAAATATCTTAATTTGTGGTCCGAAGATGAACGGAGGTCTTACGGGTTTGGAATGACATTTAATGACAGAATTTTAATTTTTGGGTGAACTATCCCTTTAATGTATGAACTTGGTATACTTGGGGCTCTTTAAGGGCAGAGAGGACAGATATAAAGCATTTCATGTAATAGCAATGTATTGAAAGAAATTAAATGCACGTTACAGAAATAAAAATGCTGATGCAATCTTTCTATAGCTTTGAAATGCTTTACATATAAAGTATAAAATGTTGGGTGTACCTGAGAAAATATGCTATATAAAACAATGCATCTTAGCTCGAAAATGACCATGGTTTGCTCTCTATGCTGTCGTACATATCTTTGACCCTCAATGTTTAGTTATGGATATGTTAAGCTATATACATTGAAAAATTGTTGGAGCTTATATGAATAATGATAGTAAGTTTTTAAGCTAACATTTTTTTTACAGTCAAGCCTGTAATTTGTCTAATCGGCCAAGATGACATTTATCTTGCATTCATCTTGCTAAAATTTAGAAACTGATTTCTATTTATCTGCTGTAGTTTCATGGCCATATTAAGGTAGAGCTGCCTTTTAATGTAATTAACATAAACAAATATGTTATATTTCACTCAAACCTTTTACAAAAACTTCAAATGGCTTCAGAAGGACATCATGGAATAATTGAACAGATTAACATTATTCACCCAGACTACCCGTCATTTTAGTGTAGCTTCAAATGAGATTAGTTTGTGCATCCAAAGGAAATTCATTGATGCCCTCCACCCCCTGCTGTTCACTGCTTACATAATGCATCAAGGCATAGACATGTCTAAAATGTAGAATGCTGGTAATTAAACACAAAAGTGAGGTGAGAGAACAGCTGGATGACAGACTTCTCATCAAAGTTTTTAGATTCAGAACAACTAGCGATGACTTAAATTGACAAATTTGTTGTAGTATTTTGTGCATTGCACAGATTCAGAACTTTTAGTGTAAATTCAGAACCATTATACAAATAAATGCACGTATGTAATAACATACTAGATATTTTTCGAGTCTTGTGCACAGGTGAACTCATTCTTATTAATAATACCTAAAAAAAATACAGGATAGAGGATACAGGGTGCAAAATATTTCACATTAGGAAAATATTTTCAGAACAAATATTCTGAAACAATAAGCAAGTACATTATCTAAATTAAAAACAAAAATATATTATAATAAAAGCTGATGTTGGGCAAAAAAATTACATTTACTGCATTTACTGCTTTGATTATTTGGTGCATACCACCTTAAAACAAGATCTATGGCTCTCTCTATATCTTTTTTATGTTTTGATTTGCAAATTTGTCAGAGGATCAAAGTCCCTCCAACACACTAAGGAATTAAGCAAAGGGAGCTCCTCACCATAACAGATACCATATAAAGGATGATGGCATCCATATTTTCAGCATAACAATAGAACAGCCAACTGAAGGCACTGCACATGAATAAATCATGATCAGTATCGGCAGTATAAGACCAGAAAATCTTTGGTTACAAACAGACAATGAGCAAAAATGATCTAAATCTACCTTTTCTAACAGGATAAACACAACCTCTCAAATGTAGAAAATTAGTTAGTGTTATCACGTCCCAGTGTACAAACATCAACAAATATTAGTATTGTGATAAATATTTGTTTTGCCCTACATACATTTTAAGATTTTTTTTTTGTCATGTTCAAAATAGAAACCATAATTTGTTACCATCGACAAAATCAAGCAAAATAGCTTTTATCAGATTAAAACTGTTGATGTATTCAAAGAACACTTTTGGGTACACCATTGAAAATGCATGTAGGTTTCTTTATTTACAGCATTCTTACCGTGATTTTACAGAACATCGTGTAGACATTTCCCGAACGTTTACTTGAGATGAAATACTAACTGGTGCTGTGGCGAAGTCAAAACAGTGATACACTTTGGTGTTTATCTGTCACTTCGGCTTGAGACAGACAGGGAGAGAATATTTTTTCGGCATGGTTTCCTTCGCTGAGAGGCTGAGACCATCTCCCTCGGGATCCCATCAGATGGGGGGACATGTCTATGAGCGAGAGAGAGCTAGAGCGAGGGAAAGAGCATGTGTGTGCACACAGAAAGGAAAGGGGCAGAGTGTGAGTGCGAGCGCGTATGATGCTGCTCGTGGAAGGAGATGGTGCAGGTTTTGGCTTTCCTTCCTGTGCTACAAGATTTTCCCCACTAAGGTTTGACCTCTGCGTCCTGTCAGTGTGGCACGTCAGCTTCTCGGGTAAGAGCTATTCATTATTTGCTGCTGGAATCAGAGCAGGTTGCTGTATGCGTTCCTAATTTTCTGTGTTGTGTGTGTGTCGTATGTGCAGAGAGACACAGAACGACAAAGGGAAGGGAGGAGGGTGGTACAGGCAGAGGATATCATGTGTGCGCTATAACTAAGGACAAGGAGCAGACAGAGTTGGAGAAGAGGGGAAATAAGACACAAGGCAGAAGCTGCAGACACCGTCCCTTTATTGGCCAGAACCGGCAACAAAGACAAAAGAGGTAAAGCCTCTGAAGCCGAGACTCAAGCGTTCTGCCTCGTTACTCCTCGGATTCCATGTGCCACTGGCATCTCATCGAGGGCGAATAGGATGTCTGTGTCTGGAAAAAAGGAGTTTGACGTGAAGCAGATCCTCAGGCTCCGCTGGCGCTGGTTCAGCCACAGCACTCAGACCTCAGCTGGGAATGGGGGCTACATCCAACAGGAAGGTTTTGACCACCGGGGAACACCGGTCCGGCTGAAGAGTCACTCCCGGGACAGAGGAGGACTCCGCAAGAGCAACAGCCCCGTGCACAGCATTCTGGCACCGAACCCTGGACCCACGCCTGTTTATGCCAGGCCAGGCGATCAATCATGGCACCAGCAAAACATCATCCAGCACCTCCAAGCCAGCGAGGAGCTTCCCAAGAGCAACTCACCTTGCAGTGCCAGGAAAGAGGAGGCGAAGAGCAGCCATGAGGATGTGAAGAGCAATCCGGAGAATCCCTGTGAGGAGGAAGCCACAGACAGGTAAAAAAGCTCAGTGCAGAAATAGAACCGTATAACCAGATGTGTGAAGAGGTACACATGCAGGGTGGAAGCGACTAAGTTTTGCCTGTAGGCATGAAAGACTTGCAGTTTTTAGATGAAAATCCAGTTTTTGCCCTTTGTGCGGTAGTGAAAACAGACAGTACTGTGCTGAGAGATGAGCGAGGTGTTATTTTGGGACAGAGTGGATTTACGGTAAGCCCCAGGGAGCGTCAGGACTGAGTACAAGTACAGTATTTAACTGTCACTTTATTCTGGCTCATTACGCCAGTGAAATTCGCTCAGAAATGACAGTTTGTTTTATTTTCATTGGCTGTGTTGCCAGTACTCAGGGCCTCCGCTGACACATTGGTTTGGTCTTCGGAGAATATCATTTTTCAGTCAACTCCACCATTGCAGCTGCCACCGCTGCTCACCTGGGAATAGTTCATTCACATGACGCGCGGGTTGTAGAAGCACAGCTCTGAAATACCCACAGATAAATTATTCATCAAGCAGACATCTCACAAAACACAGAGGAAAACATCGAGGAGTCTGGATATAGCCGGCAGTATAACACATTCTGTAAGCCGTGACGTGGTTCGCTCTTCATTTTAGCAGCCTGCATTTTCATAACCTGAAGCAGGAATATTTCACGGCTTGTTAATGCATGCATTCTCTGACTTATAAATGCTACAGAGAGGATACCATTACATCAGAGACAATTGTCGCAAGGGCTATAAATTTGGGAAGGGCAACAGGATGAATTATCTTTAGTGGGGATGATATTTACACATCAGTGCAGTTCGAGAGAAAGAGAACATTTCATTTTCTTGCTCCGATCGATCGAAATTATAACGAGATTATAAAGCCCTACTTGCACAGACGCTTTCAATTCACATCTTAAGTGCTGGATGTTTAGGAGAGAAAGATCTTGTTATTATTATTATTATTTTATTTTTCTGTCTAGCATAATGTCAACGTAAGGCAGGAAGTAAACATCTTTTCAGATAAGGAAGTGGCAAGACTGACCCACATTAAAAGATGATGTCATGAGAGATAAAAACAAAACCAAAAAAACAGTTTTGTCTTTAACGCTTACATATAAAGCCCTATACATAAGTACATAAGACTATGAATGTTTGTGTTTAGACAGAATTTCTATTAACCCTTGATTAAGAATAATATATTTGTAGAGTAAGTGATTTAAATATGCTGATTAATTAATCACATATATTTGTACTAGCTGAAAAAAGCATCCTAATGGTAATTTAAATGCATTGCATTATTGTTTTTCAATATGTTTTAATATCTTATTGCATTGCATTTTTCAATTGCATTTTATTTAGCAATTCATGCATATAGACTAACACTGTTGTGTCCCGTTTTTTCCCCTTCATTTGCAGTAAACAGATTTTTTTATTATTTTGTATTTTTTTTACATGTAAACATATCCTGCATGAATGGCTCTTTATTCATGCAGTCTTGCTTGTTCTGGTGAGGAGCATTGCCTGTAGTCGCAACTGGGGCTGGACTGACCGCAGACCTGCAAATAAATGCCTCGCATGGGTCAGAGGGCATTAAATACATACTATATTAACATAGTCAGCCATGGGTTTGTGGCACCCACTGAAGCTCTGCTATGTCTCCTGCTATAGGCACATCTCTCATGGATATTTATGAGTCTATTAATATTTTAGTGCATGTGCGGCGTTGCTTTTTATCCTTTTATGTTTTAACAGTACGGTAATAGAATCAATTCAGGTCAAAGACAAGACAATAAATAGATCAGGTAAATCTGGCAACAATATTCCTTATTGAACCATCTTCACGTCAGTCTTATCTGCGTTGCTTATATTCGCAAAACATGAACTCTCAAACATCAAGTTTTGACCCTTTAAAAGCTTATATTAATTACTTTGCTGGTCTGAAAGCTTTCTTAGTGTTAATAGCCTTGTTCACTGATTGATATGGTCTTGTGAACTTAAGTACCATGACTCCATTTTTCATCTACCACGGAAAATTGCTATTTTCAGGCTGAAATGACATTAGCTGCAACATTAAAACAAATTGAAAATTGTATCTTATACACTAGAAAATCATTCTTAACCACTGAAAATGAACTGCTGTATTTTTCATGAGTACCACAGTGAGGATATCGCGTTGTGTTATGAATATTTAATCAGAGAATTAGATAGAAACAAAAGAGATTTGATCCCTTAAGACTCTCCCATCATGTGCTTTAAATTATCATACCTCAGAGCCTCTAGGTGTACGATGATACATCTGCTGTTACATTTGTTTGTTATTCTGTGTTTTTCTTCCCCGTCCTTTTATCACTTTTCATTTAGTATGCGTAAATAAAGCATAAATTTGCCTTACAGGCACAATGTAATGGAAATGAGGCCTTTAATGTGCCTCTAGACTAGGGATTGTGTTGTGCATCTCTGTGTGTGAGTTAATAGTGCGATCAGACCAAGTTCCTCAATGCACATTTTTACCCAAAGGGCAAAAAAATAACTATTCATTGGTTTATGCGTTTTATTGCCCTGTATGACATTCATCTGTAAAGGAAAGCTAACTGAAGAGGAGGTGGTAATGCATTAGAGTGCATTTATAAAGCAGAAAAAGCGAATATGTATATAAAATGAGCTGAATATAAATATTAGTACTCATTTGAGTTGTTTTGAAAATGCAGAATCAGAAGGCTTGTCCTCTGCACTTATGGGTGAACTATTTAGGACTTAACGTATTCATCAATCAACACAATCATTCAAACACAAATTGTTATCATAGCATAACAGTCCGGCTTGCATCATTTGCCGATCCCATTTCCCCCTCCGTCTAAAAATGATGAAAAAGCTTAGAAAGAGTCTGTATTGACATGCAATGTCTCAAAACACAATGCACAATTATGTTAACTTTTACATTTATTCACATAAAGCACATTACTAGGAAAAGTGCCAAACATGTCATGTTTAATAGTGTATGCTATATAACATGTAGGCTATATCTGATATAATACTCGTAGATTTCATTACCAGTGAAACGCCAAACCGGTGGAACGTCAAAAATGTATGTTTGGTGTCATACAGTATATCCCTGCGGGCGTAAAGGGCTTAGGGCCATGTTTGTGATCAAGCTGACAGCATGCTGGCTTGCAAATGGTCATGGGGTGTTCAACTAAAACTACAACACTGTTATGTGCAAATTAAAGTTCATATCAAGCATATATCACAAACTGGACATATCATGATTGGTTATGCCACAATGATAAAATAACAGCAATAAAATTAGTAGAGAATCATTTAAGGTATTTTTTAACCGGACTAATACTAATACATCTCTGTATCTAAGTACAGACATGATAACATGTTTGATGAAATGCTAATGGCCATTCACTAAAGTTTTGAATGCATTGTAATTATTTCATGAAATCCAGTGAAAGGTTGAAAAGGAGTTCAAAAGGAGTACTGCCTATGCTCACTGTAATTACCCGCTGGAATAATTTTGCTGAAGGATTATTGGAAATCCTTTTGCAGTTTCAATAGCTGTACACAGAGAAGCCATAGACTATACAAATGGATGTTATGCATAAATGTTGGAAGTATTTTGTGTTTTAGATGATAAGATATATTTAAATACATTTAGATTGCAATTTGTATAGTCCTTAATCATTTGTTAATCTGTCAATTTAAGAGAGTGCACATAATAATAATGATTTACTGTAGTATAGAAGTCTTTCATAAAAAGAATCGCATGCAGTTCTATATGGCTTACATACCATTTTAACACTTGTAAGATCTCAAAAGCTGTCTTATTAGAAAAATACATTCTGAAAAAATATATTCAGTGTATTGCTAGCTGAGCAGTCCTTGTGAAAAAAGACCATCCCTTTCTTTTGATGAATTGCTGTCTATAAGAGGAATTTTGGCCCTGGCCCGTTAATAAGGAAACAGCAGAGACTTGAGTCAGCAGCCGTTACGTTGAATGATATCTCAATTTCCTCTCAATTGCTTTGGAAAATAATGACACCATCTTGTCCTAGGATGAGTAGAGCTTCATTTCAGGAAGAGATTTATAGTGTCTTCATAAAGCATTGACAGGTCAAGAGACATTGTCCAGGTAGAGGAATGTAAATGTAGTGTGAGAGGGGGAAAAATACGCAAGAGGCGAGTTCACTGTTGAATGTGTTGTGCATGAAAGAACTGCACAGAAATGCTAGTCAGTTTAAAGTATTAAAATCATTGACGTTTAAAGCTATGGAGCAAATAAATACTGAATACCATTTCTAACAAACATTGTATTAAAACGGGCTTTTCAAAAGACTGCCTTACAGTCTTTATAAATCAAGATTTATAGCTTTTTATATGAATCAAGATTTTGGTTTAAAGCTTGTGGCTTACTGATTAATCAGTGAATTAAGTTTTTATGTGTTCAAAAGAAAGCATCACACAAAAGCCCTGGAAATATCTAAACTTCACAAGAGCTTTTATAAAAAATGTAATAAAGGGCAGCAGTAGCAAAAAAATTTCTTCTTTTCAAAGGGTGCCAGCATGTTAACACAGCTAATGCATTAATCTGTGTATAGTTCAAGACGGCAACAGACTGTTATTCCAATTGGGCAGAATAGCCTTAGTTTCATATCACATTTACATGAATATCTAAACAAAACATTTGTTTTACAGTTCATCTATAGTGTTTATAATGTCTGCAATGCTATAATGCATATACAATGTATTTGTACATATTTGTGTACAGTAGTGACACTCACATCCTTATTTTTGCTGTAGAATATTGTTTGTCTTTCCAAATTCAGCTATTAGCATAATTATTGATAATTCAGGATTTGTTGTCATTTGAGATTATCAATACATTAAAGCCAGGCAATAAATTATCCTAACACTGCTGAGTGTTCCGCATTCAATCAAATTATAATTCAGCTTTTCAACATGTCTATTAGCCTCAGCATAATTGGTAGATGTTCATAATTTGCATCTGCT